GGTAAGAATCTGCTAAAAGCTGTAGGAGTTTGTGTGACAATGCCGTGTTGGTTGGGCTGTAATTACTTCTTTTTTTAACCCCCTTGGTTCTGTTTGAACAGCTGCTCCCTTTGCAGAGAGCAGCCTTGGCTAATGTTGCTGTCTTGTCAGTTACCATTTATATTTCACTTTGGGAAGAATCAGCAGCATACACACAGTAGTAATAAACCTGTATTTTCCTGCTTGGTGGGTTTATAAAAGAAATCTGCAGGTAAGCAAGGAGAACTCTTTCTTATGTCCGCCAGCTGTGGAGCAGCGTGCTGGTACTTTCAGTAGTAACCTTGGCAGAACCAGCAGTTGGTAGGAACTGAATGAGTTAAAATGTTCCCTTTAGAAAACATGATACTACCAACATGATACCTGTGCTGATTGATCATAGAAGAGGAAGACATTGATGTTTTCCTAGTCAGACATAAGAAGCATAAGCAGACAGATATACTCACCCTGTTTGAAGATCTGATGTTCAGTTTTTGTTTTAATTAAGCATGTTGTGTTGTAGGTTTAACTTCTACGATGGCCCTCCGTTTGCTACTGGGCTTCCACACTACGGCCATATTCTTGCAGGAACCATTAAAGACATAGTAACCAGATTTGCTCATCAGAGTGGTTTTCATGTTGACAGAAGATTTGGCTGGGATTGCCATGGCTTACCTGTGGTATGTGTAATAAATCTGCCTGCAGATATTTCTGTTGGTTCCTCTTCCCACGTTGTTACCTGCTTATCAGTCATGTTTATATTGCTCCTGTACCTGGTTTTGTAGCTAAAAGAGAAATGGAAGTTCTTTGTCCAGTGTGTTGCTCTGGCTTTTGTATGTGTGGTGATTTCAAGTGCTTCCTACTGGTCACCTGCCCTTCTCCAGGTACTCTGTTCATTAGTATAAACATGTATTTATTTCGTATGTTTTTCAGAAAATGTTTTTGATGGTTTTGTTTATTTTTCTAAAGAGAGTAAAGAAACAATCACACGAGTTATCCTTTGAAATATCTGCTTAGTTCAGGTACAATACTCATGAAATCTCAAAAGGATAAAGGAGGCCCTTTAGCCTCATTAGAATGCACAGAACATAAACTATCCAGAGAAATCCCAAAAGCTGCTGATGACAGGGTGGGCTTTTTGTCTGCTTGTTTTCAATGCTACCAGGAATATGAGATTGACAAGACCTTGGGCATTAAAGGGCCGGAGGATGTGGCAAAGATGGGGATTGAAGAATACAACAACCAGTGCAGAGGAATTGTGATGAGATACTCAAAGGAGTGGGAGGTAAGTAAAGACTCAGTGCATTTCTGATTGCATGTGTGCAGAAGTTTTTCAGCTGGGGTGAACTTCATCCTTCTGCCTACTTGATTATGGGCATAAACTTCACGTCTTTAGCTACTCTGTTTCTCGCTGGTGATCCTGAAAGGGGAACAAAAAGAACGACATTGAGGCTCAGAACAGGGAGACTGCTGTGATGTCAAGAGAAGGTTCCTTTGAGGTAACCTGCAGCTCAAAGTGTCTGACAAGATACATTGAACATCTAATAGATACGCTAGGCAGGTTCTCTCTTTTTTCGTGTCTTTTACAGAAAATTAAAAGTAAGATTTGACTTTGGCTTTCCAATGGAAGCAATAAAGGAAATGCACAGTCACCTCCCTGCTTTTCTGTCCCCTGACTTATCAGTCTTAATTGCCAGAGTGTAGGACTATAGCTTGTATTTCTGAAACAGCAGAACTTCTGGCATCTGATTTTGTGTCAGAAGAGATGTGGGTAAACCCTCAGTCTTCCAAGGGAATATTGGTCTAAACTTTGCATCCCATGAGTATGGTGATAGGGAGAGCATTGGTCTGTGCAGACTGTTCCAGGTAGATGGGTTAGATAATCTATTTTCTTGAGATGCACAGGCTTTTTTTTTTTTCTAACTCTGAAAAATATTAATCCTGTGCATAGAACCTGGTGCTCCTTATTTTTGTCCTTAGCAGCGTGGCCAGAATAAGGTGGATTTAACCCAGTACTTCTGTATTTGCTGTCAATCTGATACGTCTGTGAAGTGATGACTCTCCCCTATGACTTTCTGAAGTTGAGGAGTGGCTCAGGTGTTTTCCTAGTTGTGCCACTATGTGACAGTGACAGCATGCAATAGCAAATGCCAAGGGAAGAACAGGCCATATTTTTTTAGCCTTTCTGGCACAAGACCTTCCTAGGCCAGAGGATTTTTTTTTTTCTTTTCCTTAGTTTATAATCCCTAACAGATTTTTTTCCCTCATGAATTTATGTAGCTACATATTGAATGTAGGTGTACTGATGGTCTCTAAACAGTCTGTATCAAGGCATTGCTATACATAGTTTGAAGAACTGTAGTTCTTCTGTAATATAGTTTCCAGTAAACCTTTATCTTCATCATTAGTTGTTTCTTTTTCTAAGCAGAGTAGTCCAAATTCTTTAGTTTTTCCTCAAGAAGGAGGAAAGCTGTTCTACCTCATCACAATTCTTTATGTACTTTGCTCCTCCTATATTCCTTTTGATTGAAATCACAATTTCTTGTATCACTTGCCTCTTCCCTTTTAGAGATTAAAAAAGAGCTTCATTCTAGTTCTTGTTTTGTTTTCTATAGTTGTTCCTTTCAATTTGCTGTGTCTTCAGCAACCGATATTTTTGCAGACATGATTAGTCCATATACTTACTCTTTTGGATGGTAAATTGATTTTGTATTTTGCTTTGTGCTTAAACTTGTGCATGTATATGTGTGTATTTCCACACACAGACATGTATTTTAGATTATTAATGAAAGTAATGAAATTTGTTTAAATATCTTGTTTGTGATTTGGCTGGTAATAAATTCAAATATTTTGGGATAGTCAGGAGGAATTGGGATATGAGAAGAGGAAGTCCCAACATTCCTATTGGAGATGTTTATTTTCTATCTGTAGTGGCTAGCAAATGTTTGAACCTTATTAAAAAAAATACAAAAGGTTGCTTGGAT